TGTTTATTTATTTATAAAGTGTTCAAGCCTTGCGAATATATCAAAGCTTTCTCTCGAGATCGTCCCAGAGATCGTGTGTAGTACAATTATCTCCCGTCATCCTGTAAATATAGCTGCTTTAGAGGACGGAAGTTGACACGCACTGGCTCTCAGTATAACAGCAAGGCTATAAAATGTACGTAAAATAATTAGGCGATGAAATGGTGCATGAGTTTATTGCCGTACGTTGTTAATTGTGACGCAGCACTAGATTACAAGCCAGCGCCTTGCGAATCGTGTGGCAGTAAATAAAAACAATTATGCGAGCTCCGCATGATGTCCCACTCATTCATATGCGGGTCGGAGGGCAGCACGTGAAAAGCGCAGAATTCTGGGAAATGCTGTTTTTGCTCGGTCCCCTGCAAGGATCGTGGAACAAAGAACAAGGAAGTGTTTTTCATCCGTCTCTGCATAGGAACTATTCATGAATGACTGAGCTTGCGTATAAGTGAAACTTAGCAAAGGGACACAAAAAGGCAATAAACAGACAGCGCAAGAGAGTGCACACTGCAATGCATCTTGGGATCTTAACGATCAGCTAAAACATGTTTACTGCATAGCGATAACAACATATTCTGATTTCAGTATTAATACTGCATGAGATTGGTAACACATATCGCAAATTCTACGTTGATTTAAAACAATGTTTACATTTAATCTGAATAACACATATTTTAGCCATATAATGTTTTTTAAAAAAAAAAAATTTTTTAATTATCTTAACACTTTCTTTTACTTTTTGGAACATTTATAAATTTTTAAAAAATGGAATAATGAAAAAAAAAATGAAAAAGGTAAAAATGTTTTTTTTTTTTTTTGGTGCCATGGCAGTCCTCCATTTAAAGTGTAAAACAAATTGTAAAAAAAAAATATAATATCAAAAAAATTATAATTACAAAGGAACCTTGCTATGCCCCCACCAGAACCTCTCAACCACGGTGAATAAAATCATGAACCCAACTGCGTTTATGAATCTCAGAGTAATCAACTGCAGGGTATAAAAATGCAAAGTGTCCGAAACCTCTGGGGACGAAGAATGGCAATCAGATTGGACGTTTAATACAAGAGAAGGGAAAAGAAAAAAGCCTGAGAGGTCTTTTGTAACAAGTCGTTAGTGTGTAGTTTAATCAATGATCTCTTGCTGAATAACCTGCAATAGTTTTTTGCTTAGTTTTTTTTTTTGGGAAAATAGACAAAATATTTTTTAAAAAAAACAAAACAATATTACGCTAGATTCTTTTTTTCTGAATTTGCTTAGGAATCCCCTTTAAGTTTGAGATTTTCCCTTCCCCCACTTTAACCTTGGTTCTCATAGATCCTGAGATGCTGCACTCCCCCCTCCCCTATCAGCTGATATTTTACATTTCATGGCTCGCTGGTGAAAATCTTCAATGCTTTTTTTCCCCCTAGCCAACCTGTATTCTTCCTGCGAGATGCGTCATCATTCCTCAAGGTCCCATCTTTTATGGAGTTAAACCTTGCACGCTCTGCTAATAAAGGTGTTTTTTATTTATTTTTTTAAAGTGAGTACTTGGCTTTTTACTGTGTACAGGAAGCAACCAGCGCTTCGCGATCCTACAGTCTGTGGATGGGGATCAAACAGTCTCTTTTGAATAAACATCAGTAGCAGCTGCACAGATCTGAATAAGAATGCGAGAGGTGCGGAATCGTGATATGGTCTTTGTATTTCATGTACTGTGCTTACACGTCAGCCTTCAAACATCTGTTTACAACTTCTAAAACCCGACAGAAGCCTTGCTCGAAGACGATAAGGCCGGTGAAAAAGGAATAACTCCTTTCATGATCATTTCAAGCTCGTAAGCGTCTAGCGTTGTGATTTGAAACATTTTAACGCGTTTACTCTTCCCAACGCCACTGCAATGCTATAATCAACCGTTCGGCACTCAGAATCTTTCTTCCGCCCACCCTGTCCACACTCCCCCCCTCCCCTGTTTTTTTTTTCTTGTTTAATGTAAATCGTAAATCAACACATGATATACATTACAAACAGGGGTGTCCTCGTTCTTCATATTATGATATGAGTCATGTGACAGCCGAAGCAAATAACTGGCTAGAAAACTCCTCTGGGCAATATTTGTGGTCCGTTCTCTGCATATGCAACATATTGGTTTAGGTCGAAAGCTACTGGTTAGATTGTTCTAGATTAAAACAATTTGTCGACGTAACTTGAACGCTAGCCAGGAAAAGGTTGTTTGGTTTTTTTGGAGGGGAGGGAATGTTTTCTTGCCGGAAAAAAATAACTTAGCAAAAGTATTTTACAATGGTTGGAAAAAAAAGACCATAAACAGACACATTCTGTAAACTATATACATTTAATAAGAGTATCTATCTTAATTATGATACAAAGGAAACATATACAAGTTTACTTAAGCAACAATTCACAGTAAATTTCTAATTTAAGGCCAATGTAGTCAGTTTGGAAACATTCTCTTTGAATTCTCAATTTAGTAAACAGCCGTGTAAACTTTCCCCACGTCTCAAGTATAAACTGAGGTGCAGTCATGTTATAACCTAAATAAGAATATTTATTTTGCTATTAAACGAGATGGGGGAGCGAGGTATAATGTCTCTACACACCCCAGCCATTTCCCATCTATTGTGCCCAGTCGATGGTCGCTTGCTGGTCAGGTCCTACACCCTGAGCTGTATTCTATCTCTGGTTTGCAGTGGGTGTTAGTTTGCGTTATGAATTTGTTTCTGAGCAATTTTTGAAATAAGGTGTAACTCAGAGATGATAAAAACACATGTAAGGACAAAAATAACCGTGACAGCTAATCTGGGTACCACATGCCTCCAAACTGTCCCAATTTTGGCTAGACAGTCCTAATTTATGGGTCCTGACCTAGTTCCATCTTGTCCTATTTTTGGGAGGTGTAATGAAATTGTTGCTTGTTGTCTTTTTTTTTTTTTACGGTAACCGAAGTTACAGAATTTATGGCATTTTTGAACAACATCCTTTAGTGACTGAGAGACTTTATCATCTCATTTGCTTTTGTCATTAAAAGACGGCGCTTATAGCAAACATCTCACATTTCAAATCACTTCCCACCCAGAACTTCTGCCTCTGTTCATAGCGCGATATAAATAGCAGCCCATGACTAAGGACTGTGAACTTATGTAGGACATAATGAGAAGGAGGAGAAGTGAGAACAAACTCGGCCCAACAGCTGACAATTGCCCCCACCATCAATTTCACCTTATTCCACCCCTGGTAATTCATATGGAGTGAAGACGGCATTAACCCTTTCAGGATAGTTGCCAACATTATAAGAAAAGTAAAACATTGCTTTTATTAGGAATATATAAAGAAAAGTACGCGTGCAGTAAATATGTGTAAAAGAAAAAAAGAGGAATCTGTGAAATCTCCTCGTTGAGATCTTTTCTCTGTCTTTGTAGTAAAGGTGTCAGGTATCACCCATGTGCGAACAGACCTTAGAACCTGTCTACCTGTGTGAGGAATGTCTCCTCCCCCAAAAAAGAAAGCTCTATTTGTGGTTTGACAGAACCATGGCGCTTTATACAGTATAATAGATGGAAAGGCGTATGGTGTGCACTGCAGGCAGGGTATATATTCCTGATACATTAAAAGATATTTAAAAAAATAGTAACTTAAAACATGTAAGTAAAAAAAGACATACAGCGAGGGAAAAAAGTATTTGATCCCCTGCTAATTTTGAAGTTTATCCACTGACAAAGAAATGATCAGTCTATAATTTTAAAGGTAGGTGTATTTTAACAGTGAGAGACAGAATAACAAAAAAAAGTCCAGAAAAACGCATGTCAAAAAAGTTATAAATTGATTTGCATGTCAATGTGTGAAATAAGTATTTGACCCCTTCGAATTAAGGTTTCAAGGCTGACGTTTGGCAACTCGAACCTTCAGCTCCCTCCGCAAATTTTCTATGGGATTAAGGTCTGGAGACTGGCTAGGCCACTCCAGGACCTTAATGTGCTTCTTCTTGAGCCTCTTCTTTGTTGCCTTGGTTGTGTGTTTTGGGTCATTGTCATGTTGAAATACCCATCCACGACCCATTTTCAATTCCCTGACTGAGGGAAAGAGGTTCTCACCCAAGATTTGATGGTACGTGGCCTCGTCCATCGTCCCTTTGATGCGGTGCAGTTGTCCTGTCCCCTTAGCAGAAAAACACCCCAGAGCATAATGTTTCCACCTCCATGTTTGTACGGTGGGCATGGTGTTCTTGGGGTCATAGGCAGCATTTATCCTCCTCCAAACACGGTGAATTGAGTTGATGCCAAAGAGTTCGATTGTGGTCTCATCTGACCACAACAATTTCATCCAGTTCCTCTATGAATCATTCAGATGTTTATTGGCAAACTGTAGACAGGCCTGTACATGTGCTCTCTTGAGCAGGGGGACCTTGTGGGCGCTGCAGGATTTCAGTCCTTCATGGCGTAGTATATTACCAATTGTTTTCTTGGTGCCTATGGTCCCAGCTGCCTTGAGATCCCTAACAAGATCCTCCCGTGTAGTTCTGGGCTGATTCCTCACCATTCTCATGATAATTGTAACTCCACAAGGTGAGATCTTGCATGGAGCACCAGACCGAAGGAGACTGACAGTTATTTTTGTTTCTTCCATTTGCAAATAATCGCACCAACTGTTGTCACCTTCTCGCCAATCTGCTAGGCGATGGTCTTGTAGCCCACTCCAGCTTTGTGAAGGTCTACAATCTTGTCCCTGAGTAGGGATGTGCATGGGCAAAAAAATTGGTTAGTTTCAGCATTCCGAAATTCGGCACTTTGGCAATTCGGGGCTTCAGCAATTTGGCCTGGTTCGGCACTTCGGAAATTCAGGACTTCGCCAATTTGGGACTTCAGCAATTCGGCACTTTGGCACTTCGGTTGGTTCGGCACTTCCAAAATTCGGGAATTCAGCTTCGGGACTTTGGCACTTTGGGACTTCGGCACTCAGGGTAAGTGTAGGGTTAGGGGTAGGGTTAGGAGTAGGGTTAGGGTTGGGTTAGGAGTAGGGTAGGGTTAGGAGTAGGGTTAGGGTTGGGAGTAGGCTTAGGGTTGGGTTAGGGTAGGGTTAGGAGTAGGGTTAGGGCTAGGTAATGGTAATTAGGTACCCTAATCTTAATCCTAACCGTAACCCTACACCTAACCCTAACCCTACCTAACTCCTAACCCTAACCGTACCCTAACTCTAACCCTACTCCTAGCCCAACCCTACTCTAACCCTACCCTAACCCTACCCGAACCCTATTCCTAACCTAACCCTACCCCTAACACTACTCCTAACCCTACCCCAACCCCAATCCTACTCCTACCCGTTTTGCCACTTTTCTGAAGTCCGAAGCACTTAGGCACTTCCGAAATTCGGCAATTCGGTTCGGCACTTCTGAAATTCGGCAATTCTGCAATTTGGTTCAGTTCAGCACTTTGGAAATCCGAATGTCCGACATTCATCCAAATTTCCATTCGGATCGAACCGAATTGCACATGTCTATCCCTGACATCCTTGGATAGCTGTTTGGTCTTGGCCATGGTGGAGAGTTTAGAATCTAATTGATTGATTGCTTCTGTGGACAGGTGTCTTTCATACTGGTAACAAGCTGAGATTAGGAGTACTCCCTTTAAGAGAGTCCTCCTAATCTCAGCCCGTTACCTGTATAAAAGACACCTGGGAGCCAGAAATCTTGCTGATTGATAGGGAATCAAATACTTATTTCACTCATTGACATCGAAATCAATTTATAATTTTTTTTAACATGCATTTTTCTGGATTCTTAAAAAAATCTTTGTATGTTATTCTGTCTCTAACTGTTAAAATACACCTACCATTAAAATTATAGACTGATCATTTCTTTGTCAGTGGAGAAATGTTCAAAATCAGCAGGGGATCAAAAACTTTTTTCCCTCACTGTACCTTTAAGGTTTACATGTTTTCTTCAAATCCACACATTTTGCAGTCTCCTGCAGAATGTTTGTCCCGAATAAAGACGTATCTGTAGGTATGACCATAGCTAATTTTTATTGGAGAGCCTGATAAAGAGGCAGGGGCATGTATTGTGTGTGCCCTCCTAGCACGCAAATTCTCTGGAACTATGTTTCCCCTAATAACGCATTCAATGAGGGGGTTCGGCTTATAGTCACAGGGACGTTTTTGCGAACTGCTGCAATTATAAGACAGTGCGTGCAAGGAGACACGAACAAGAAGCATCAGTTGTTATGAAACTCGGAGTGACCCTTTAACTCAGACTCTGTCAAATCCATCTCACCGAAGCTGGCGGTAGATTTTCAAGATGACAATCACTGCTAGAGCAGGGCATTTTACCGATCCTTCTGTGAATTGGAATATATCATGTGAAAGCTATTTAACTTCCTATAATGAACTCTCAAAGTCAAAGAGGAATCTCTTAGAAATCTCATTAACTACATTTGAAGAGAAAAAATGTGTCACAGCTGCATATAGGATGTGGACAAAGCAAAACAAATATTTCCAAACATTCTAAATTGCACATTTAAAGATATTTTCTATGTTTCAGTTAAACAAAAAAATCTGTGATTTCATTGAATACAATGGCACATTCATCATTATATACACATAGTTCAGTGACAAACTGGATAAATATACACAGCGACTCCTGAGGATTTCAGACAGGTCAGGGTGCTAGATGCTGATACAAATTGAAATAAAATAATTTATTGGAGACAAAAATCTTAGCTGCTGTGTTCTCTGAGTATTCTGCAGACAGCAGTCAGTCGGTCTAATTGTTTGGATCAGTGGCAGTAGTCTGATATGCACTGCACTGGTGAGTGGAGTGAATGGGTGCAAATAGAACCACTGGCGTGCCCCACCAGAACTGGTGTGGTTCCACCCAAAGAACTGGCCACCTGCCAATCACACAGGCTGTCAGGGAGCGCCGTTTCACTGTTGTAGTACCCTTAGAGTTTCACGAGTGCGTCTAATGATGCGTTCACTCTACGCTTTTGGGGGCAGTTTAACGGGAAGCAGGGGAAAAAAACGTGACAGCAGAACATGAAATCAAAATGGGGACTGGACCATGAAATTGGGAATATTGAGAATCCTGCTTTAAATAAAACATTTACTGGTTGTAAAATGTCTCCATCTTAAAGTAAATTAAACATTTTAGGCCAAAGGAGCAAAATGTACACATAACTAAATTGGGGAAGTGTTGCAATTCAGATAATTGAGCCTAAAAATATGAAATTCGCATAAGGCCAGAGTAGTCAAACGGAAAGCATAGCTTAAAAACTTTTTCCAGTTCGACTATTTTGACCTTAAATTTGAAATTCACTTTGAATTCTCACTTTCGTGAATAGCCTTGTTAGAATTTCCAACAATTCACCCTCCCCCCTGCTATTTTTTCACCTCTCCAATTATTTCCCTATTCATGAAATTGGTCCAGATAATGAGCTAAAAAGCCTGTCTTTCTATCTGTGCCATCGTCTCCCACCACGATTAATAATAAAATAATAGTGACATGCCAAATATAGCTTGTTAAGTATTGGCAAAATAAAGCATTTTTTTTTTTTTTATCGATAGGGCCTGCACGGAGCTTAAGGCCGAGTTTTGCATTGTTTGAAATCCTTTGCAATGAGATAGAGAGCTTCGTTCCCAGCCCCCCACCATCCACAGTAAACTCAACGAAAGGCTGTGGCCTGTTTATTGACATTTTGTTGTCTCCCAGCCATGACAAGTGCAGCATCTGCCCCTCATTGAAACGTCTGTGACCATCGCCCTGGTCCTAAATGGAAGTCACGTAGGCTATCCCCAAACTTTCCCAGGATCTGTTTGTCGTACCAGGCATTGTTATCATATCCCAGTCTGAGACTTCCAATAATATATTGCTCCACTATATATATATTGTCACCATTAAAAGCTGCACATTCTAGCAACACTGGCTGAGAGCAATGGTAGTTACAGTCCGCAGCATCTAGGTTGGGAGACTCATGAGCCCAAATACCTTAAACAACCCTAAATATCAGTCGCCCAATGCTAAATGCCCCCCTAACATTATATTATATCCTAGTGGCAATATGGCGCAAACAATGTTCTGAATTTAAAAATTCGCCATTTAAAACGTACATAGTATAATATGTGATTGATTATTTTCAACTTACAGAGTCCTCGATTTAATTTATTTGAATCTGCAGCAGAAATTCTTCCAAAAACTTTTCAAATTATTTAATTACAACAATTGCAATAGACTTTAATGGTGATTTCCCTGAAGAAATTATTTGAACAGTTTTTTTCTAACAGGATGGAATAATTTCTGATGGCGATTCAGACTAAATAAATAGAGGCCATAGACCTTGATTTAATATTGCTGGATATGTTTTTCAAATGATTTCATATTTTTGCAAACAAATACTTTTAAAATTATTTAATATTATGAAAAATATTTTCATTTTGAGATATTTTATGATATACTGATATATTTCTTTTTAAATACGATATCTTTTTGATATATATTTTTTTTCATTCTTTATTTTTGTAGAGCAGAGGAATACAGATAAATGCAATGACACGTAAAAATTTAAATATTTTTGATTTTGGAAAATAATTTTTTTAAACATTTGTTTTAAAATATTCTTTTTTTTTTTTGTAGTGCATCGAATAACATAGCAAGGTTACATAGACACTTCTCAAATGACAGAAACAACAGTAGTAAGTATTAGAAAATGTCACGGTAGCTAGACTTTTTGTAATTAAGTAGAAGGACATCAGGAACATAGTTCTATGTAGGTAAAGCAAAGTGAAAGGAACACACGTGCTAAAATATTGAACTATAGTTAAATTTAAGATATATAAAGACCACTGGGTTCAAGGATATCACAATAGCAGATGTTCAAATAAAGGTAATGATCATAAAAATAGCCATGCATTTATGTGGCCATGGATGAGACAGTTTAATTGCCAGCAAGGATTGAGGATCAGTCAGCCGATTCCTAATGTGAGAGAGTCCCAGCTTCCGCCACTGTCAGCAGCAACCATGGAGCCCCTCCACTGTGCCCAAGCGATTATATAGCTCAAAGGTTTTCCCCACCGACAGGCATCCTCTCCTCCAGGAGGAGCTAGTGTTCGCCGACCGCAGAGCCAATGTAGCTGGTTACAAGGATGACAGGCCATTGAGATTTGTGGGTAGCATTGGGAGTTAATAAATTCACCAGCCTGGTTTTGGGGCGAGGTACCACCAGTGAGGAAGCTAAAGTGTTGGGGTACTGCCCGCCACCTCTGCAGCCTTCTGCATCTTCTCTTCTGCAGTACCCATCTGGGAACACGCTGAGGAGGCCCATTCAAGCCTTGCCAGAAAGCAGTTGGACCTTGAGAGCCATGACTTGGTCTGAAGGAGTCGAGGCAAGTCCCCCGGCACAAGATGATGTTGGAGCCCTTATTTCCACAGCTGCCCAGAAGCATTCAAAAATCTTCTCAAGCTTCTTCATGGAGCTTTTGATGGTGCTAAGCTTGTAACGGACCGTTTTGCCCAAAAGAGGTTAAAAACCGTTTAGGCGATATTCCCCTTTTTCAGCTGCACCGACAGCTACTGCAAGCGCCAATCTCCTGAACTGCAAACCCACGAATTCACCAACTCCCGAACTGCATACCAAGGGAATACTCGAAACTCCCGAACTGGAGACACACGAATAGCTGCTAGCAGACGAACAGGAAAATCCCCCAAGCGGCTTACACTCCTGGCAATCAGTCTCTAACAGCATACAGTAAATCCTCCCCCAATAATGAGACGACACTTCACTTTGAGGGTTAAGCAGGAACTCACTTGTAATGGCCACACACTGGCTTTTATGCAAGTCCCCATGCAAGGGGACATCCCACAGGGTGGGACACAGTAAAACCAATCGTACAGGAGAACCATAAAACACACCCACATTTACATCACAATCCCTCCTCTCTGTCCTGGAGATAATTGTGAAGTAATCCAATTATCTCCCAGGACAGAGGAAAGACTCCATTAACCACATGGCAGTAACAATACAATAAAAGACATAAAATTACATACAGTTACATTTATTCCATAAAACATAGACATTCTACATATCCCCAGATAGCTTAGATCTGAGCGCACATTACTACCGAATGGCGCTCAGATCACATAAATACAGTTCAATCGCCATGGAGCCAAAGTCTTTCATACAGTCTTTCAGTATATGGCTGGGCTCCATGGCATAGCTATCTGGGGTAGCATGGCTTTAACAGTCCGCAGAAAGGCACGAATAAACCTTTCTG